TCCCCTAGAGATGTAGGCCCTTTGACCCGCCATGGGTTTATCTTCAAATGTTCATATATATTACACAGGGCATATAATAACCCTCTGTGGTGCTATATATTTCTGCTCGTTATACGCATGTTCGTCCTTTCGTGTGGCTGCTATCTCGCCATCACACGATGTACGCGCTGATGCGCGTGCTTCGCCCTTTTCACATGTGACAATTTCGTGAAACCCATCAGAGTTGAGGGTCGGCGAGGGTTCCTTTCCGCGCCTTCGTGAACAAGCATGAGTGTACATGTATCCACAAAGCTGATCCACATAACCCACTTGACGCACATACTTATCGGCCATTTCCCGTTTAACATGTGTTTATCCCGTTTAACGGCAACGTCCCCTCGCAAACCCCCCATGGTTGCAAAATGGAAGATAAACCTTATGTGACGTCTCACAAGAGAAAAAAAACAAGAGCGAATGCGAAAGTAAGCAGAGAAAAAATTAAGAAGAACTTTTTGAGAAATGAAAAACTCATCCGAGTTTCAACGATAAGCAAAAGTTCGACGAAAAAAACGTTTTTACATACCTTGTTCAAAAGTTTTATCAAGCCGTACAATGAGAAGAACACAGCTTTTTACTCCATTTTGTGTATAATTAATAACATCTACAAATGCCACTACTTTTCGAAGCACCGCTGCTTGATTTGCAAGCCACTGCACGAAAGGAGCACGTCCGTATTGCAGGAGGCAAGTGCCTACTACGATGGCTGCGATGGGGAGGACAGCGCGTCTGCGTCTGCCAGGGCTTCCCTCACCGCGTGCGCCAGCACTCCCCCCATCGATTCCACCACTGAATCTACCACTGCGTCCGGCACCGCCGCGGTCACTTTCCCCTATGACATATACTACAACTTGCGCAAAATCAACTTGAGTGAATATGGAAAACTGAGGAGCAGCGCGAGTGGCGGCAAATCGGAAGGGAGGCGTCAAGCGTGTGCGGTTGAGGGGAACAACCACGCTCCGGAGAAGGAAAGTTTCGAGCCAGAACCGAACAGAGGGGTGTTACTGTTGGACACAGCGAAAAGGAAAATAGCGGAGGGTGGAAATGAGAACGAGAGTGAAGACAAAAATGGGGCCGCACGTAGAGTGACCATCGGGGTGGTAAATGCCCCTGCTGGGGAAAAAAACGCACGCGAGTGCCTCCACCCGGAGAACAAAGCCAGTCAGAAAGTGGATGCAGCAAAACCGAATGCCTCAAATAACAAGCCAAGATCAGTCGCAGCTGTGGTGAGGAAAAACGTTTCCTTTACCGATAAGGAAGTGTCCCCATTCAGTGGACCGTTCCAGAATTTTATAAGTGCAAAGTTAAACCTTACGAATGTGCAGCAGTACTACTTTCTCTCACACGACAAGGAACACTTTGAAGATCTATACAATTTCGATGTGTTCAAAAAGATAAATATATTCGACAAAATCTTACTAGACTTAAACCAAAATGAAATACACCCTAACGTTTTAAGGACAGGAATTTTCTTTAACAAATATTTTAATACAAGCCACAATGACAGGAATGTGGATTTGCTGACAGCTCTCAAGTCTTTTATTAAGGACTATTCCCTCCCTCCCTACGAGCCCATTAACAGACACATGAAAATTGTCATAGACAAAGAAATAAATTACATAATAATGTGCAAAAAGCATAGCATCAGCATGGGGGAAGTGATCAGATGGTTTAAAAATATGATTACGGAACATATAGGAAAGAATGTTCTAGAGCAGACCAAGGTCATAATTACGAACAATATTAATAATTATATAAGAACCAAAATTGTCATGCCTTCAATACACATTTCTAACTATGTAGCCGAGCATATCATTGCCGACAACGACATTTTGCTAATTTACACCTTTGATTATGACATATATTTGTCCATCGTCAAGGCGAAGAGAAGTGGTAAAAGATTCGAAATCGTTTTGGTTGACTCGGAACCTTATAAAAATTCATATGATATTAAATTGTATACGAAACTTGGCATCCCAGTTACGTATACATTAATTGGAGCCTTATTTTACAAAATAAAAAATTGCACCAAAGTGTTGCTAGGGATCGATGCCATTATACATAATAGTGTTTATGCCTATGTGGGTACCAGCATTATATGTATGATGGCTCACCTGAGCAATGTGCACGTCTATATTACTTGTGAAACGTACAAAATCAGTAACAAAATTATTATTGATAGTTTTAGCATAAATAATATTAACAACAACTTGGACATTTATAATTATATATACATGCACCACCATCCCAGGCACAGACATCATAGTCACTACGACCACTACCGACATCAGAAAAGGCTGCAAGAGCAACAGCTTGCGGCCTCCCACAAAAGTGCTCCCAAAAGGAATAAATGCATAGACCACGGGGTGATGTTTAACCGGAAATTAAACACATTCATAAATTCCTACGGTGATATAAGTTCCAGTTCCGTCCTTTTTAATAATATCGAAATTGGCTCAGGAGGCGCTGTGCCTTGCAAGCCCCTTATCAAGTATTTCGCTGTAGATGCAGGGAAGAAACGGGAAGGTGCTTCTTCCCTCCCTAGCAAGAGATCGAACCACTCGCAAGAAAAGGTATACCTATTAGAAGTAGCGCCACCCTGCTCCATTCGTGATAATCCAAAAGGAATTCTTCTCAAAGGAGATCTTAAAATAAATTGTCAACCAAGTGAATCGAAGGATCACCAAAGGAGCAGCCATCCAGAGGTCCTAAAAGGAAATATCGATCCCCCCCCGAGTAGCTGCAATACCTTCCTCAAAGATGCAGACACTACGCGCAGTGGAAGGGACGCCTCTATATTGTTCCCCACGCATGACGAACCCGAAAGACAAACGTCCATTCAGACGAAGCAGGAATATCCCCACAGGGAAGAAGAGACAGGTGCCAACAGGAAGAGAGAAGTGGGTATAAGGGGACCCGGGAAAGAAGTCAAAATAGTTACCACTGCAAGTGTGGTTACAACCAGAAGCACGAGCAAAGTAGGATCGACTAAGGGGATACTGAAACTACCCGGAAAAACATCCAACGAAAATAAAAATGAAAAAAGTAACTCCCCTTTAAATAGTAAACAGAATTGTGGAAATGTTCCCAGTCACAGTAAAAATGTTGTTAAAAAGAACAGAGTGTTTTTTAACCTTAAAAATGACAAAAGCAGTTATTCCTCCAGTTTTAACAACCACATTGGTTTCCCTTCGAATAACTTGAGCGCGCACATTGAAGCCTGCGAAAGTGAAGAAGAAAAAATATCCTGCAACAGCATTTGTGATTCCATTTGCACCTCCATTGGAAACATGAACATAAAAAATGTATGCACAGACACACATAACGAGACGAACCTGTTCACTTCTGTCCAATCGCACATAAGCAAAATTAATTCAACCACGGACAAGTCTTTTTACGTTGCCAATATATGTAATGATGTCACTCCGCTGAAGCACATCACCTATATCGTCACGGAGGTCGGCTTATACACGAGCGCAAACAGGAACGCATTAAAGGTGTTCGTTCAGAATAACTTTTAGCCCCTTTGCGCGCGAATGGGTGTGGAAGTGTGCACATGAGTATGTCTTCACCTGAGTAGGTCTTCGCGTGTGTACATCTCTACGCATGAATGTACGTGTGCCCTTCCGCTCCGTTTTCCCTTTTTTTTAGTGCCCCTCATCCCCTTTTTCAACGTTTTTTGTTTCTTACGTTTGCGAAAAAGGAGTAGAAAAAATGTTCATTTTGTAGCTAACCCTTTCCTCGCAAAAACACAGCCTGATATTCTCAGGATACGCCATTTCATTTTGAATGATTCTTCCGCCCTCTTGTTGAAAAGAAGAGCAATCGGAAGTGTAAGCATAAGCCAAAGTGTGTCTTGTGTATGAGCCCCCAACTACATCTATGCCACTGTTACTGACGTGTCGGAGAAAAGAAAAAATCTTAGTCACAGAAATTAGTCCCTTTTCGCGTCCCGTATTGCAGCCCTTTTGCGGGTATCATTCATGCCCCTTGCGGAGGTTTCACATTAGATATTGCCTAACAGGTGAAGGCGGAAAAAATGCTGAAGGTTTATGTGCATACGGCCTACGTGCATGCGTCAGATATCTCCTTTGGGCGACGTGGCCCTCAGTAAGGCTAATTCAAGGTAGCAGCTTAACCGAATCCGTAGACTCACACCTTCATGCTAAACAATGCAGGTGACTTTGTACGCCCGGAATCTCAGAAAGGGGAATAACTAGCAAGTTGGCACTTTTTAAGATTAAAAAAGTTTAATAAGCGTGACGACCGCATGATGATCGGATCATGATCGCATGATGGGGCGTCGTGCCAGCCGTAAAAGCGCAGCCCGCAGTGATCACAACATGGCAGCGCGATTTTTTTTCATTTTTTTGTACCCCCCGTAACCTCCGTGTAATAGGCTGAAGGCAAAATAAAGGAAACGCGAAAAATCTCCTCCTTTGGCATGAAAAACTTTTCCGCATCCGCAGAACATTACACAGAATTGTGTGACGGCTGGTTTTTAAAACTTCGCGGGAAATAAAATTAAAAAAAAGCAGCATATGCACACATGCCTCTGTCACTAAGAACGCACATGCATGACGTGCAGTTGCTAAAAACAACGGAAAGGGGGCTTAGATTGGGAACAAAAAATGTTTTTTAATTATGTGTCTACGTGAAAAAGGAACAAGGAGATATGCACGCGAAAACAAAAGATAACCAAAAAATACCAAAAAAATACCAAAAAAAAATAACAAAAAAAAAGTAACAAAAAAAAAATAACAAAAAAAAAAAGCCTAACGATTTAGAAACCCGAGGGGGGAACTTCCCTGCATTTTTCTGCTACGATTCATTCTACTGAAAATAAAAAATAGAGACATGCATACATATATGTGTGTGCGTGGGGGTGTAATTATCTACGCTGTCACACGAAAGCGGGTGCACTCGCACCTGCACCGCCCACGCGTTTGAACGTGCCTCCCCCCTCAGCTTTCAATGTCTCTTCGATAATTGGTAATTTTGCTTCTGTCCCTTCGGGCAGGATTCTTTCTCTTTTTGTCGCTTACGTCTGAATATTGCATAGCCAATGCAAAGGCAGAAAAAATCACGAGGCCTCCTATGTAGTATATCATATATTTTTTAAAATGGTCCATCAATTTCTTTAAAAATGATGTGTTCTTTGTTCCGTTCCCAGGGGTAGCATTCATATACGATGGTGGCATGCCGGAGTTTTTCTGTTGATCTTCATGTGGGTGATGAGTGTTCCCCTGGTGTAGGGTTTCTTTAATGTTAAGTTGAACGACATTTCTTAGCAGTCTCATAAAATCTTTTTTAGTATCATCAGGGATGTGTATATCTTCGTTTATTTTGCTGCAAAGTGGTGGGGAGAGCGACAGCGTAAAAAATGAGCATACTAGACGGGGGAAAATGAGACAGTTGGGGGATAAACTGTGCCTATGTGCAGTAGCCACATAGATATGTCTATATACACATACATACACTCATGTGCACAGGTTTGAATGCGTGGGAAAAGAAACCTACATGTCACTGTTGTGGGGGACAATTGGGGCCTCTCTCTTGGGTATGAAGGCGCTTAAAGTTGGAATTACATTCGGCGCCACGTTGGACAGGGGTAGGCTCGTAGGCTGCCTCTGTTGAATGTTATTTAAATTTGGAGCATCCATTTTTGCTGCTGGATTATTATGCATAACGTGGTTGTTATTAGCCTCTTTACCACTCTGTTGTTTTTCATTTGCGTTATGCGTTTCTTGGCCGTGAACTTGGTCGTGGTTGTCCCCCGGATGCTTCCCCGAAGTAGGCGCCTTCTTATGCTCTTCATGCTTGTTCTCATCCTCTCCGTGAGCATTTATTTTTTTTTTAGGTTTTTTGTCATTTTTGTGGTTCCCTTTTTGTTGTTCCCCACTATCTTTTTTGTGTGATGGCTTCTTTGTCGTTTCTTCTTCCTCGTGTTCGTCCTTGCCATCCCCGTTCTCCGCATTTTCGTTCTCATCATTTTCGTCTTCCTCATAATCTTCGTCATCATCGAAATCTCTTTTTTTTTTTTCTTTTTTTTCTCCTCCCTTTTTGTCTTCCTTTAAATTTTCTTTTTTTTTGGAATTGCTTTTGGGTTCCCCTTCTTCTTCGTCATCTTCGCCATCGTTGTCACTTTCTTCGTCCTCGTTCACATTATCGTCGTCCTCTGCGTCATCTTCGACTTCCTTTTTATGCTTCTTCTCATCTGATGGCTTCTTCTCATCTGACGGTTTTTTCTCATCTGATGGTTTCTTCTCACCATTTTTTTCCTGCACCGCATGTTCCTCATGCTCCCCTTTCAAATCTTCTTTTTTCGTGTCGTTTTTTTTTTCCTTCTCCTCTTTTTTATCGTCCTTCTCTGCATGCACTTCGCTATCATTAGCTTCCGTTTTCGACACGAAAGAGAAGTCTAATAATATTGGGGTAAAAGAAAAAAAATTCATGAAATGTGCATCACAGCTTTTTAATCAGTGACCTGGTTTGACGAAGACATGAATCGACGTTTTTTTTTTTTATTATTCCAACACGTGCAAATGAATAGCGTCTCATAATGCGCCTATTAGAAAAGTAACTCCGTTGGAGCGTCATCAAAGGCGTCGCTCATTGTTTGGCCCTCTGTTGTTACCTGTAAAATTGCTTAAACCATGCTTATCATATTTTCGTGCCTTTTTCCTTGATATTTTGGATGTCTCGTGTTTTCTTAAAAGAAAATTCTGCTAAGGGAGGGGTGTCGTTTCAAGGGGGAAGTGAGTAATGAAGCCTGAGCAGAGGTTTATGCATGTACCTACATGCAGAAATTGGGGGATTTCCCCCCCTCACCCCCACATACACACACCGGTTGGTCTGTCTACAGTGACGCGGAGAATGTAGAATGTACGCTGCGATGTGGAAGACTAAACGGTGATTCTCTCGCGTTTAAAACCGCGTCGCAAAGTGTGTAATATAATGCTCTCAAAAGGGAAGTCACATGGAAGTCATTATATATGTATATATAAGCATGCATGTATAAATGAAGCAGAACAAACGCGGGCGCAACGAGATAAATAATCGCCTCTAATCTTTTCATACCTTGGATTTCGTTTGAGAATCTGCATCGGAGCTAACATAGTACAGAATAGCCAAATAAAATACAATCATTCTCATTCTCAATTTTTTTTTTTTTTTTTTTTTTCTTTGGGCCGGTGTTTCTGTCCTCGGTCATTTATTAAAATGCTTTGTACATTGTCGCGTTATTCTCATAGGAATCATCGCACAGTTTAGCTTAGGATTCCTTATTAAAAGGGAAATGGCGAAAAAAGGGTTTCGTGGCGTGTAATCCTACACACGGGTGCGCATAATGTACTTCAATTCACCTACATATGTACGGCGCAAAAATGTGTCATTTGACATTTGTGACTTCTTTACCACAGATTTCAGACTGGGAAAATTTTGGGGTATTAAACGCGACTGTTTAAATCGTTGTCGGCAACACTGCGCTTTGCGTGGGTATGCTCATGTGTACTTCTCCATGCACAAATCTGCATGAACGAGTTTTAAAGGTAAAAAGTTTGGCAGGAGGACGCGGGAATTTCGTCACGCAAAAAGGAAGGTTATACGCGTATTCATACGAATGCGCATATGCAAATGGGCGTGTTGGTCCTGGTGCATGTACGCGTTCGCATATGATCAGACAAAATTATGTTTATATGTTTATATGTTTGCATGTTTACATGTTTACGTGTGCGTGTATAGACATCCCCATCCATGTTGCAAAAAATAAAAAAACGGAAGGGGGGTTGCTCGCTGTCGACTTTTACACGAATGTCCGTTTTTAAAAACTGTGAGTGTTGATCGAAATGAAAAAAAAAGGGGGGTTCCCTTTTTTTCGTTAATTTTGCAAGGCAAGGACATGTACAAATGGACACGCGGGGTACGCGGTAGCAGAGTATGAAGTACGCA